TATGTTTAGGTTTTTCTGCACTTGGATCATTCTGTTTATTGCTCTCCGTCTCCAGGAATTTCATTGGCTGATTGATTGCTGATTTCGCAATGGCTCGAATTTCTATTTCTTGGAAATGCTTCTTTCAAATTTAACGGATTATTTTTGTTGTTTGTACTTCTGAGCAATATAATATGGCTACAAAAACTGAGCTAGTCGTTATTTTCATGTTTTCAAACAATTATGCTAGTCGATATTTTCGTCTTCAAACAAAAACTGAGCTAGTCGTTTTTTCTCATGTTTTCAAACATTTATGCTAGTCGATATTTTCGTCCAATTTACCTTTTTTGAATTTAAGTAGTATCTACTTAACAATCCCCCTTATAGTATCCACTACAAAATTGCTATCCCAATAAATAAAAGCAGTAAATTAGCACTAGAGCGTTCTATTTATAATTCGAATTTTACTGCATTCTGATTGATCGATAAAACGACTAACTCAATCTACTTAACAAATTACCCTTTTCTTGAAAGGGGGTAATTGTTAAGTAGATCCCCTAAGTGCTCTGCTGAGTTTCCTTTTACCTCTTTAAACCTAGTCTTTGGTTTCATTTTGCATAATTCAATTAAGTTGATGAGCGGCTGAAGCAGGCTTTCAAGGAAAGTAAAATTATTCAGCTCAATAATTATTTAGAACTCAGTATTTAGAAAAGTGTTCTCCTATGATGAAGGAGGCATCGAACATAGTCTCATCATGTGACCTATTAACATTTATCTTCCGCCTCCTTCCTCAGTGTTTAAAGCGTGTCATCACTAAGTTTAATACCCGTACATAGGGGCTGATCTAGGATTTTCTCAAGGGTGAAGGGGTAGCATACTTTAAAAAAATTTCTTGAAAAATTTAACTGTCTTATTTTAGGTCGACCAAATTGCTTTTATGACATTTTCCAAAACATGAGAAAGATCCTATGTTGAAAGCATTTTCTTGCGCCAATGGCAATTTTTTGAAAAGTTAAGAACACCCTTTTCGGGCACTTGGTGTAAAGTTTTATTGAAAAAAAGCTCTTTTTTAGTGCGCGCTCCCCCTCAAAGTTCGTATAGTGTCGGTCGGCCGAAACAAATGTCTTAAACAGTACCAACGGGGGGCGCATTGGGTAGTGCGGAGGTCGAATCCTTGAGGAACGAAAGCATCCATCCATATTCCTTAATGTCCCAATTCAAATTCGAAATTTCCAATTAAATTCATATATAACTATTATACTGCGATTAATTAATGATTCAACCACGGAACAAACGTGATGTAATCTTTTGCTTTCAATTTAGCAAATCAACGAACTTTTCTTGAAAAATGCCTCGTTTTCTTCATATCAATAAACTTTGAATCTTATTAGTCCACAGGTAGAGTTGTAATCAATGTAGGATCCATATAATTAAACTGTCTATACCGTCAGTAGAAACTCGTATTTTGTAAGTACTGGAAACAGGGGTTAAAATTGGTTATGATTTATCCAATTAGTGAATTAGATAAACAGAAGAGAGAGAGAGAGAGAGAGAGAGTGGGAGATTAAGAGGGTTACAATTTAAAAAATCAAGTCTTAGAACAAATTCAGCTAAAACATTAAGTCTGAGTTGCTTGACAATCTGATTTGTCAATTGTTGATTTGTTACTTTAAAACGGAGAAAATTCGAAAACTTGACTTTTCCGAGGGCCAAAAGACTTTGTGTAAAAACATTCGGCGCAGCCGCTTATTCAGCAGAGCTTCCACAAAGCGTCCTTTTGTGCGGGTAGTTTTTGAGAAAAGTCAAAAAAATTGAAAAAACGGTCCTTTATCCTTTCCGAGGTTCAAAAATTTTCTTGCAAAAAAGATTGGACCTAGCCGTATATGCAGTGGACTTCCCCACAACCCATAGTTTTCGATTGAAACAAAAACGCACATTTGGCAAGGTAGTTTTTGTGAAATGTCAAAAAGTTTCAAAAAACGACAGAAAATTGCTAAAAAATTTGGACGTCACCGTTTAATTTCAAATGTATTTTAGCATGAACCGAAAAAAGCAAGTAAGAAAGGTAAGTCCCGCAAGTTTTGTGAAATTTTAAAACCACAAGTAGACAAATGCAAATCACATTTTATAAAAAAAATGTCTTTTTCTATCACGCCTTAAAAAATTCTTCAGGGACCCATTTAAATTTAAGAACGCATCTAAAAGTTCAAAATTTTTTCGAAGTTTTTTTAAATCTAAATTTTATTTAAGAAAATTCAGAAAATCTGAAAACATTTCACATTTAATCAGACATTATTTCAGGCAGGACTTGCAACCTAAACGTATGCTGGCAGCATTACACAATAGGAATGCTAACTTCAAAATTTTTTAAAATTTTTTTTTCAAATGTAAATTTTTTAAAATCTAAATGTAATGAAAACCGTCGTATCTCGGAAGCTATGAGGGTTTGAGCAGACATATTTGGAGGCAAGATTTACAATTTATGAGAATATCCAGACAGCACCCTTCTATAGGTTTGGGAATTTCAAATTATGGTGTTAGTAATTAAAATCTCAAAATTGAAAACATTTTTCAAAACTTTGAGACGATCTGTCAAAAAAATTGGCCTTGACCTAAATTAAATCTTTAATTGATACTTATCCAGAATTTCATTCAAAAACAATCTGGAATGTTTATGATTTTTGCTTAAACGTTGTCCCCAAAGCCTTTTATGACCATTGTCCCAATTAAAAATCGCTTTAACTTGGCGTTCATAGAACACTTGTCGCTGCGTTTAAATAATAGATAGGTTCGTAGGGAAGTTTTTGAATTTTAGGTGGGCCGTATCTTTTCTTGAAAAAAAGTTGGGCGTAGCAGCTAATGCAGGGGAGCTTCCCACCGCCCATCCTTTCGATTGGATTCAAAAACCGATCAAAAAATCGAAATCCTACTTTTATAGGGACCATAACTTTGATTTAAAAAAAGTGGTTCGGCAGCTAATGTAGAGGAATCTCCCAAAAGCTGTCCGAAAAATATCAAAAACGTCTAAAAAACTTTTAAAAAACTGATCCCATATTTTTTTCATAATACCTGTTTATAGTAAAAGACAAGGGGCGCAGCTAAGGCGGAGGCATCAATCTGATACATTTTGATTTTGGTGTACTGATGCTGGATGCAACAGATAATTTCAAAAAATGGTTTTCATCTATAATCTTAGTTGTTTCTCTAACAAAATAAGACTGAAATTTTCCGAGAATTTGGAAATTTCCTAAAATATAAATTTTAAAACATGTTACAGCGTAGCCGCCGCTTAGGACCAGTGGCTTCTCACAATCTGTTGCCTCGATTAATTCCTTGATATCAGATTCGTCCAAATCGTTTTCGAGAAGAGAGAGTCAAAAGTTTCAAAACGCTCATCAAATCAACAAAGCTTTTCCGAGGGCCAAAACTAAATTGTCACAAAATTTGGACGCCACCGTTTATTCTGTGCAGTTTTTCTCAATTATGTCTTTTGATTGAACACAAATTCTCAGATTGAGGAAGTTAATTTTTAAAAAAAATTCAAAGAGTTTCAAAAACAGTCAAATAATCCAAATTTCAAGCATTCGGTCCTTCAAGAATGAGGGACGCCACCCTTTCGATTGAAATCAAAATATCATATTTGGGAGGGTAGTTTTTGAGAGGTCCAAAAATCAAAATTTTGATTTTTCCGAGGGCCATAAAATTTGTACAAAAAAAATACGCATAACCACTTATACAGTAGAGCCAACACAACTGGTACTTTCGATTGAAATCAAAATTTCCTATTTGGGAAGGTAGCTTTTGAGAGATATCAAAAGTTTAAAAAAAACGGTCAAAACAAAAATTTTAATTTTTCCGAGGGCCATAACGTTTTAAGCGTTCCACAGCCCGAGCTATCGATTGAACCCAAAATATCAGATATGTGAGGGTATTTTTGGAGAAAATGAAAGAGAAAACAATGAGTCAAATATTACACAACAGATTTTCGAGAAAAACTAAAAATGTTGAGAAAAGTGAAAACTTCTTTGAGAAAAACTAAAAATGTTGAGAAATGTGAAAACTTCTTTCCAAAGCTTCTCGAAAAAATAAAATAAAAACCGAATCCCTATAATTTTTTCATAATACTTGTTTATATATTTTTCAAAAGTTTTTTTGCTACTGTGATAAAAGGATCTAACGAAAAACGAGAATTCTGTCACATTTGACAGTCATTGTAAAATATGCAAACCGGGCAATGGTTTTGGTCGAATGTTTTGTTCAAACTGTTTTGAAAGTTGATGTTTCTTATTCCGAAGATGGCGCTAAAAAATTTCTAACCAGTGTTTTCAATACTGGGACCACTTATTGAAAATTTTTTAACGTCCTTCGAATCAGGGCTAAAGGGGCTGCTCGCTCACCTCATTTGCTCGAAATTAAACCTATAATTTCAAACAGGTTTTTCTCGACACTGGGAAAGTTTTCTGAAACTATTTGATGTCATTCGAATCACGACTAGAAAGGCTTCAATTTGATATATCGCTGGACCCATGCCGATGATTATCAAAAATCTCAACAGCTCTTTGAATTATACATATCTTTTTTGATACAATTTTTAGCTGAAAAGTCCCAATTGAGAATTTGTTTTTTTTTGTTATACAAGAGCGTAAATTGCCTTCCAGCAGTTAACTTTTCCCAAAAACTACGCAAAATCTTCAAAATTAAAGAATGCTTTTCATGCAAAAGAGGCATCATTCAACTCTATTTTATTAAAATTCAACTAACAAACAGTTAGCCATAGGTAAATACATTTAACTTACGTCGAGAAAACAAACGACACGGTTAAGTGAAAAATGACGCAAACCTTCCACGCTTAAAAATATTATCAACAGACTTACACATTTCTTTCATGACACAATTTAGGAAACATTCATAGCATGTTCTGAACATAAGCTATTGGCATCAATCCAAGACATCGAGCCTAAACGATTTCCTTGACCAGAAAAATCAATTTCTCAAAATTGTTATTTTTATCAAATCACCAAGCCCGTAGCGTTGCAGTAATTATAAAAATATAATCAAGATACGTTTGAATCAAAATCATGTCGAGATTTAAACTTTTTTTGTGTTTTTTTTTAAAAATCAGATGCGTCTGCAGACAAATATAGTATGGTGCAGGGGCTTATTGAAACTCTTTCCAGCCAGCAGATGATAAGGCATATTGTCTCGTCTCTCCTCTACTTTCAGCTGAGTCTCTTTTTCCAATTGATTTAGAAAGTGCGGAAAACCGTAGAAGTTCTTTAGCTCATCTGTTTCCATAAGGTCTTCTCGAACCCCGAAAACGAAGAGAGCACCTAAAAAAAATTTTATTTCAAACTGTGAAAGATATCAAAAATAATTCGAAATAACGCTTGCTAATCACAGAGCGGAAACAGTCGCATCACTTGCGATAGAAAAATACAAATGTTCATGTTCTATATTTTCTTTCAAAAATTTGACTTTGCCCAAAACCATAGTTGTTCTCTACTAAAATAAATAAGAAGAGTGAAGATTTTTCTGAAATTGCAATCTTCCCATAAACATATTTTTTGTAAAAAGTCAAGGAGTCGCCATTCTGCAGTCAAAATTCTCCCAGCCAGCTCTTTCGATTGAAGCCTTCATTTCATATTTTAGGGTAGTTTCTTAGAAAATTCAAAAAGTTTCTGAAAAACAGTCGAAGTTCAAAAACCAGAATTTTCCGCGAATCATACATTTAAAAAAAAATTATTTGGGCGTAGCAGCTTATGGATAAGAGATTCATATAATCGGTAGTTTCGATTGAATGCAAAATCTGAAGATTTGGGAGGATACTTTTCGAAGGGCCATAACTTTCTGTGTTGAGAATTTGGACGTAGCCGCACATTCAGAACAGCTTTACACAAACCATTCGTTGGATTTAAAGTAAAATTTTACAAATGGAAATTGTTGAGTTGGTTCCACTGAACTAAAACTGTTGCAAAAAGTGAAAAAGAAAATCGAAAGCGTCAAAAAATATATAAAAAACCCTATCCAGTATATTTTCATAACACATGCTTTTGTCTAACAAACATTTTTTGGCCATCAAAACTAAACAAAAACACATAAGCTGAAAACTTGTAGTCGAAAAATAAATTGAAAAAAACAAGCAATTAAAAAAGACTTCTATGCTTAACAAAGTAGGCCGATAAAAAAGGGTACCAGGTAAAAAAAAGTCATTTTAAAAAATGGAAAATCAACCAACGGAAACTGGGCCGAAAAACCACGAACCCGAAAAAACTCAATGATGAATTAGTACTTTTGCGCTGGTTAATTCTAATTTCCAGAAATTAAATTCAATCTCCGCATAAAAATAATTTTTCAAGAAAATTTCTCGTTGATCTTCATATTGATTTGAATTGGCTATTTGATTTTAAATCCTAGTGTACAAATAAATAACGAATTTTTATATCGAAATAACTGCTGTTGTAACGCTTGAAAAAGTCATTACTTCACGAAACGTACTCCAGTTAAATACTACCTAGATGCGGTAGTTTCATTTGAATTTTCAAGACATGGAGCATGTCTTAAAATTTACATTACTATAAAATTGACTACTCTGTGAACAAAGTTATTTACGTGAAAAAAGTCTAGTACCCGATTGCAATACCATTGCTTATCGCAAGGGTAAATATGCAGTGCTATGAGAAATAAATTTACAAGCCAAACGATAGTTCGAAAATTTTTTTCAAGGATGTAAAAAACTTCTGACAGCATTCGAAGCCCGGGCGCTTTCCAATGAAGGTACAATTTGAATCTGATTTGATAATGAACCAAGCTATCAATTGATTTTGTTGAGCAATTGGTTAACCTGAAAAAATGTTCTATATTACGATTTGATAACACTTGCTAACCACAAGCGTTACAACAGCAATTATTTCGATATAAAATGCGTTATTTATTTGTACACGGGGCTTTAAAATCAAATAGTCAATTGAAAATCAATATGAAGATTAAGAAAAATTTATTTTTATGCGACGATTGAAATTTTTTATTTATGGAAATTTAAATTAACTAGCACAAAAATTACTAATTCATGGAGAGAGGCGAAGCTGCGCATCCCAAACACGAACGAGATAAGGACAGAAAAGCAGCTGTATAAAATGAAATTAACGAAAATATAAATGAACCTCGAATTAATAAAATTTTTTTACTACGTATCGGATTCGAGGTTTGAGGTCTCACACCCATCCCTCTAAGCCACGGACGATTAACGATCGTCAAAGACTAGCCAAAGTAAGGCAAAGAAGATGTTATGAAATCTCCAGTGCTAGATTGTTATTATAGCATAAGTTCCACCAAATGAGCACTTTTATTGGCGAGCTAGGATGGAAATATAAATAGAGTCACACTGATACACTACTCTCGCTACTTTTAAAAGCCAGAAGTTATTTTAAAAGCCAGAAATATTTCAAAACCAAACGCGTCGACCGACCTGGTCGCATCACCTTGAGCACATTAGGAATGCAGTGTGCTGTTACGTGACCGAGGGTGAAGGTACCAGCACATACTACGAGGTCGTAGCTGCATTCGTCCAAGGGCAGTGGTTCATTAAGACTGGCCTGTATGCAACGAGAATAAAGTCCCAGAGATTTGGCCTGAGCCAACATCTCCCGGCTCAAGTCCAAAGCGTCGATTCGTCTGAATTGGAAGGGGACAAGAGCTGTTGCTACCAATCCAGTTCCTGCTCCAATGTCCAAGACATCCACGCCATCGGTCGGCTTCGTTTTAACACTGGAAATATGTACCTCATTGAAATCATCAGTGGCCTAAGCAATTACAATCAATTAATATTTTTAATTGAATTTTTTTATAGATTACATGGAAAATCAGCCACATACATCGTCCTTTAATCATCGAGTAAATCCGATAATCGTTTTATATTTCAGAAATTAGGAATCTATTTTCAACGCAGAGGCGAAGTTGCACTTCGCATACACAAGCAAAAATATGACCGACAACGCTACTAGGAAAAACTGATTGAATAAAACTTTGAGCAAACAAAATTTCTTCGGTGACGCACGCCAATTATGAGTCTACATAACTGCTAACTGATGCAAGCTAATTATGATGCATTAGCAGTACCAGTCAATTTGAAAAGAAATTTACCAACTAACATGCCTCAGTTTATAGAGGACGCATTTTAATTAGGATACGAAGAAGTTCATCAAAAACATCCGACCCTGCCCAGGCTCGAACCCTCTTATTTTGCTGCAGGTCTCCTTCCCTACCTCTACGCTACAGAACTATGATACATTGAAGCTAAAGTGCTATTTGTAATGCAATAGTCTGTGTTAAAATCCTCAGCATTGGCTGTACTTAATAGCTGGATCAAAATGAACACATTTTGTCGCAACAATTGCATCGCAACAATATTTGGTACTTAGATTGGAAAAAAAAGAAAGTTCATACTATCACAGAAGCTATGCTTGTGCAAACAAAGTTCTATTAGTTTCATACGAACTCTATTAGTATCTCTCAGAATTGTACAAAAAAATCAATCCTTTAAGAGAGTTGAATTGCAGATAAAAGTTCTTTAAACAGAAAAACGCCCATGACGCAGAGGCTTAGCTGCACTTCAAACCATAAGAAAAAATTACAAAAGGCAATAAAAGGTTTAATCGCGAAAATAGGCTTTAAAGCGCTGTTGTTGTTGTTTGTAGCTGCAAAGGGAGGGGTCGTCCAAGTCGTGTCTCAATTATCGTTTCGTTTCAGTATTCCACAATCTAAGATTGCGCAAATTGATTAATCGTTTCGTATCGTACGCCAAACAGTAACTATGGTTCTCCCAGATTTTGCTGTGAGCGAGAAGGCCCCTTCTGACAGTAGCGTTGAGCCCGTTCTAGGGAGCAGTTTTTAATTAGTGCGAAGAGCTGAGAAAAACCTCAACCCTTTATCTTGGTAGGTTAAGCCTTTTTGCGACTGCAACGGGGTTGTCCCACAGGTCGTTAACTTGATCGTCAGGTCCTCGTACACATGTTAGCTTCGTGAAGCTTTGAATTACTAAAAAAATGGTTACAGGTTTCGAATCGCTAGCTTCCGAACAAAACTCTCAAAGTAACGTACAAGAGAATTGAGAAAAGTGTCATGAACAACTTCAGCTCCCATTTGGACCCTTACCCTGAGTTTCACCACCTGGCAGCGCCCCCAAGTGAAACAGAACAATGCGCTAAGAGCAACATCAGGGTGCTTAAGAATGAGTGACATCACACATCTGCACGACGAAACTAACATTATGACATCTGCGCAAGTTGTTACATCGGACAACACAACACCGATGATCCATTTCATTTCTGGGTACTCCCTACCTCCCTTACAATTGAGAGCTTGTAAGATAATCCCGAAGAAGCTGCCAAACATCTGCAGCGTAACACATAGACTTCCAGAAAAGGTTTTTTCCTCGGTTCTCTCTACTAACTGAAAACTCTCCGCTTGAATCAGGCACGGAGTTTCAGTCATCTCTCCGCACCCCGAATAACCAGTCCTCTAGAATGGACATGTTTTAATAACATAAAAGCCTTCCTCTTGAGTGTACCATACAGAGAAGTTGTCGACACCAGCAAGAAGACGCTATCACTGGTACAGGTGGTTCGGTTTCTACGCCAGGTTTTCCCCTTAGAAATCCTGGAGATAAAGCAGTGAATAATTGTACGAGATAAAAAAAACAATTATTAACGCATATTCTCTATCTCTCAAACATAAGCGATCTATCCAATTCAATCAGAAATTCAAAGCAGAGATCGATGTAGCTAGAACAACAACAACAACAACAGTTGTGCACTTATTTGAGCAAATTAGGTTGGAAAAAATAACTTGTATTATAACACAAGTGCTTGTTTATGCAGATCAGACAAAACGCGTAGTTTCTGATTGTAAAAATTCATCCAATTATGAAAATGACAGAAATACGTTTTCCTCAAGAAACTTATATTTTGTAGAAAGCTGATCGCTGGGAATTTTTTGGGAAAATAAATGACAAATCAGAAAGATTTCAACCTGGCTAATTAGACAATCGACTTCACTGTAGTAATAATCTTGCACCACCTTTGCCAGCGATAAGTGTCCGACATATTTAACATCTTCCTCGATGTCCTTTTCAAATGACTCCGCCCATCTGTCGTATACACTGCGCAGCTCACTCTCCTCAGTACGCAGTCCCACGTGCCCTAGACTTTCTGCACGACCACCAGTGATCTTAGAATCTCCACTGTTTATCCCGTCATCTGTTTTAATACTCATGACAACAGAGTAGCACAAGCTACTTTCAATTCAATATAACTTCACCGGTTTGCCGTTCAATTTAATAATTTTTCGATCTACAACCACGGCCATTAGACACGAACTATTGGCAAACTTTCTGAAAAAAGTTGCAACTGATCAAAAACATGTAAAATGCCGAAACATTTTTACGAAAAAATGTCGAAACAATTTTACGGAACTATCCTTTTTCTTACTTTGAATCCTTCGAGTTGTTCGTTAGCGCGGTCTAAGAGGTTACGGTACCGTTTTTGAGTCTAAAAAAAAGAAATTGCGCCGTGGTTGTATCAGTACAAATACAAGAACTACTGAAGAGATAAATATTATCGTTGCAACTCTCTCACTTTAGCACTAGCTTATAAAACTAAATCGGTAGATTAAAACCATCAGTTCAAGCTCAAAGCATCAATATTGAAAGTTCATATCTTTATCTTATTTCAACTGTGCATTATATATATTTAGCACACTGTCTAATTAAAACCAATTGACTTTCATCTGAAGTAATAATTGGTTCATACCGATGTGAATAATCTCTGAAGTCATGATCTTTAATCTCTTGATACTAAAAATGGGAAACTAATTCATTCAATTAAATCTTGTTTCAACTTGTTTGTAAGCTAAATAAATCTATTTATGGATTAAAGCAGTCAGGAAGAAATTGGTACTATACCTTACAGATGTTCCTTAAGTCAATAGATTTTACAGCGTCAAAAAGTGATCCCTGTCTTTTCATGAGAATTTCAAAAGATGTTTTGGAATACGTATGCATTTGGGTGGATGATATAATTTACGCTTGCAATGATGCTAACAAGTTTATATCATTTGAACAACAAATATCTAGTCAATTCAAAATCAGCGAAACAGCAAAACTTTATTGGTTTTTGGGGATGAAATTCAACTTTTGTGGGGATGGGTTAGAAATTTCTCAGGAAGCGTATATTGACAAGCTACTGTCAAAATTTGGTTTGATTGAGTGTAAACCAGTGTCTACACCTGCAGCTGATGGTTTAAAACTTTGTAAACGGCTACCAAATGAGGTGAAATTAGCAAACGACAAAGATTATAGAGGACTTATCGGCAGTCTAAGTTACTTGTCAATTACTACAAGGCCTGATATTTCATTCATCGCTCATTGCTTGAGTAGATATGTGAACGACCCTACTGAAGTACACTGGATTGCTGCAAAACGAGTTCTACGATATTTGAAAGGAACTAGATCGTATAAACTTATCTACAGACGATGTACTGCTACGCCAATCTTGTATGGCTATTCTGATTCTGATTGGGGAGGTGACAGTGACACTAGACGCAGTACTAGTGGATATTGCTTTTTCCTGTTTGAAAACAGCGGTGCAATATCGTGGGCTAGCAAACTCCAAACTACTGTTGCAAAATCTACAGCTGAATCAGAGGCTACAGCTCTTTCGTTAGCCTGTAATGAAGGATTATTCCTGTTGAATTTACTGATCGAAATCAAACTCGATTTAATTGATTTCAAAATGTTTGTGGACAACCAAGCATGTATTTCTCTTGTGAAAAACGACGTTAACAAGGGAGTCGTAAAACATTTTGCTATTCATCTACATTTCATCAGGGACTTAATTCAAAAGAAACAGTTGGATTTGAACTATATTGGGACTGACAATATGGTGGCTGATATTCTCACTAAGAATTTGGGCAAGACAAAGTGCAAACGTTTTGGGCTTCAGATGTTCGCCAATTGAGTGGGGGTTTCAACTGTGCATTATATATATTTAGCACACTGTCTAATTAAAACCAATTGACTTTCATCTGAAGTAATAATTGGTTCATACCGATGTGAATAATCTCTGAAGTCATGATCTTTAATCTCTTGATACTAAAAATGGGAAACTAATTCATTCAATTAAATCTTTCGCTGCTATTTCAATTTATGGACCCTAAGATCTTATGAACGTACGCTACTAAACAGATCAACCCAATATTCACTATATGGAGCTAATACCTATTATACAAATAAACCAGCAGTAAAATGCTTTTATACAATAATCCGAAAACGAATTTGTTGCTACTTGCAAATTTTTCCAAATACAAATTTCCGACAACATTTTGGAATTTTTTCATGTACCCGGAAGAAAAACTGAACTTACTAAACTTGCCCAGAGATGTAAACCTAATAAGTGCCCTACCCTGATTACCGTTCCCTTCATTATTGACTAGCATCATTTCTGAACCACTATATCGCATAAAGGCAAACAAAACAGAAAACAATAGCAGCGAAAAGTTAAGGCCAAAATCAAGGATTTGAATTTCTAAATTCTACACTCGCCACTAATTTCATCACTAAAATTTTCGCGCTGAGCGGAAAACCTGCTGGGGGTTGGTTTAGAAATAACCATCCCCGGTAATGAAGAAGCCATTTCTCTAATGAAGACCAAGAATCAGGTCTATCGTTGAACTTAAAACTCTACGGCACCCTTTCTAACTGCTATTGGTGGACTGAGCTTCTATCCAAACACCAAAATCTGAAAAACTTCAAAACCTCCTCGAATGTGGGTCACCCATAAACAAGCGTGAAATCATCCTGTGGCACGATATTATTAGCAGCTCTATCAACGGTCACGTAAGCAACAAAAGTTCAAAAGCCAAATTCGCGCAAAGTATTGAGAAATCTAACACAGTTATTAAACAACTTAAAACTGACACAAACGATCATAGAAAAACAAGCTCAAAACTTTCATCGAATCATTGAGTTCTATAAAAAGTGGCAAAGTGGTAAAAAAAAAATCAATCCACCCTGTCAAATCAAAACCAACTCGGCATACGAGTACGTGGTATTACGGAAGAAACGGGAAGTCCAGACGAGCAAATGCCCTCTAACATATTCGCCGTAAAAAAACTTCTAAAATTTTTGAGAATCAAATATAAACGTCTAAGCAAAGTCCAACGCCTAGGAAAAATCAAAAACGACATTGGAGGGTCTCGTGCCCTCCTAATTAATCTTGAATGTTCATTGAGTAACAATCTTGCCCTGAAATCTGCCTTTCGTTTGAAATATTCTCAACATGTGGTGTTTCTAGGTCGCGAACAATTCCCCTTCGATACCAAAATAGAAATTGATTGCTTAAGAAAAGGGTGATTTCTGATGGATAATCAGGAATTCGAAACTTAAAACTGGCATCAAAAGAAGACGATAATTAGGTTGAATGTGTCGATAAGTCATCAGTTGCTGCAACCGAAAGTGAGACTGATGCCAAACGACTCTAAATTGTCACTATCTTGTCTTTGAATGTCAGAAGCATACTTCTTCTCAAAAGAAGAACGAAACAGGAAAAACTTTATCAAAATCCAACTACGACTTTGTTTGCTTAACTGAAACGTGGCTAACATCGGATATTCCCGATTCTGCTCTCACATCAGATATTCCCCCAGATTTTAAAATTTTTCGCAGTGACAGAAAAACAAGTTGTTTCAAAACTAAACACGGTGGTGTACTAGAAGCAGTGAGAAATGATGTTAAACAGGATCAAAGTGAATTTACGCGTGAAGAAAATAAAACTGCTGTTAAAATTTATACCAAGCCGAAGCCTCCATTAGTATGTACAGTTGACAATCCTCCAGGAGAGTTCACTATAAAAGGAAGTTTGGAGATTTCAATACGTTTTTTGAAGACCTCTGCAAACTTACCGCTGAAGAAAGTTATCAACAAGTTGTAACCGCAGACGATATTAAATTTTCGAAAACCAAATGGAGTCAAATGAGCTCGAGCGTTGATTACAAAAATGATATTACAAATTTTCAAAAACCTTAATTTGAGCAATGCTGCAAGCACATAACTTGATGTGATCTTAACCAATGACCCAGATCCAATAATCGAAGGTAAAATCGACAAAAAAACGCTTTAAAGATTACTCCATTGATAATAAGCCATTCTAAGGGTTTACGAGTACGCTGAAGTGTAGCTGCTCGAAACTCGAAACCAACCATTACTCGACTCGGAAAACTCATCGAGTATTTTCCTTAGTACTTGAACTCGCCCTTCAAACACTCGAATGTAAAAAACATCAATCGGTATCTCTTCTCGTGACTCTTAGGGTATTTTTTATGCTGAATTTTTCGGAGATCACGACGAAAGCACTTTTAACATGAAAATTAAATTAGAGAAACGCATCACACAAAGTATTTATAACATAGAGTGACTGTTCATGTGTAGAAACAGGTTTCGCTCGTGGGTTTTCGGCGACATACGGGTCTGCAAGTGATTCCTACTCAGTCGCCCGAAGGTCAAAAATCGGAAAAAATACTCGTCACCTTTAAATACTCGAACTCGGAAAGTCGAAGTTAGGAATATAATACTCAAACTCGAAATAGCAATTACTCGAACTCTGCCCGAGTACTCGGTACTCGACTCGTAAACTTTGGCCATGCTCCGATCTTTAACCATACTAAGTTTAAGAAGCTGCGCCCCCCGTCAGTACAAGAGAAGTGTGATTGAATGAACTGTTCACCGGGTTTTCCGCAGTACGTCAACATGGGAAGAATATGATAAGGCTATGAAAATCAGCCGTGAGCAGTGGTTAGATAACCAATATCCGGAAAGTTGGTCGTCGCGGGTTGCATCCCATGCCCTTGAAAAGATCATCAGGGAGGGCAAAAACAAGAAGAACATGACTGAGAAAAAGAAGCCCTGTGATTATAGCAGTGATTCACCACCCATCTTGATGGTCCAATATAAGGGTAATCACAGTCAGACATTAGAAAAAAAAGTGCGCGATATCACCAATGCGCAGATAAAATTCACGACGAGGAAAATGAAAACTTGTATGCCCTATCTATAATCCTCCTTTTCCAGTGAACTAAAATCAAAAGTGGTGTACAGTCTTGAATGTTGTGGGTGCAAATTCATCTATGTTGGCCAGACGATCCGACATCTCACCACAAGGATCGAGGAACACCGAAAAGAGGATACCCCAGTTGGACATCATATAAGGCAGTGTGGTAGTGAAAGTGGTAAGTCGGAAATTAAATGGGAAATAATCGACCAGTTGTCGAGCAGCACCAAATTATTTACATTAGAGGCGCTGCTCATTGGGAAAGAGAGACCGGCAATTAACATGCGCGACGAGTTTAGAAGTAGGGAGCTGACACTAAGGCTATAGTTCCAGAATCAAAAAATTTTGGCTAAAACAAGGAAAAAATTTCGAAATAACTTACATGCTAACATAAAAATAAGCGACAAAACGAAATTGTAAAAAAAAATATGAAAACTCTCAGAAATTTGTGACAAAAAATGTAAAATTGTTACATAATAGTTGTTACATAAATTCAGTAATATTTGTAAAGTTTCGATTAGTTGAAATTCTAAAAATTTGAAACAATGATGTACATGACACTTTTTGTGATCTTTGATCATTTTGTACAGCTAGCTTAGAATTTTTAAAACCTGAAGGTGCCTGAAAATGTTCCAAAACGTTCGTTTGCATTTACAATTTTAACGCATTCTCAAAATAGCAGTAACGTTGGAGGCGAGCAAAAAACAGATAGTCTTTCCCAGACAAACCAAATTTGCGTATAAGAAAACAGACTGGGATTATGTGATTGAAGCAAATATTGACAAACCCTTCAATTCCTACTGTTATAGTTTTGTTAATCATCTAGTCAATCATAGATAAAATTGGATAAAAAATATCAAAACTAACGTTCCGAAGGTAACAAAACATCGACCTTCCTAGCCACATTTGGCATCAAATACTACTTTTTTCCTAAATGAAAAAACTCGAAAGCGAAAAACGACAGTGGCTTCGGCCAAATGTATAAAGATCACTCAAAATCAAGTGCCTCGAAAAAAAAACAAATAAACAACTCGACGAAGATTTAAGTGGTTTTGAAGCAGATGTGCTCAAAAATTGACGTTTCAGTAGCATACAAAGGCATCTGGAATCAATAAAAAAAACTCTCTCCATCCCTCATACAGTTCAACAAGAAGGAAACAACTGGGAAACTGACCAAGAAAAGCCTGAATTTTTCAAAAGTTTTTTCTACAATGTTCTCAATATTAAAAATCCTCATCCTATCAATTCACGGCAATATCTATTCAGCAGGATAACAATAACCAAAAAGAAAGTGAAAACAGTTCTCGGCAGTTTACAATTAAATAAAATGGGTTGCGTTGTAAACTTATTCTTAATTTTTGTTGCAAAACGCTTTGCAAGTCAATATTACTATTTTTTAGAATAATCGTAAACAAAGACAGTACCCCAATTTTTGAAAAATAAGTCAGGTCTCTCCGATTTTCGAAAAAGTTAGTAAAGCTGATGTTGGTTGCTATCGACCAATCAGTGTTTTGTGCTGTTTATCAAAAGTCCTCGAAAAAACATTCTTTTATAAATTTTATGAAACTTGTCGACATTAAGTACGCTAAAATCAGTTTGGTTTTCGAAAGCAACGATCAGCAGTCATCCAACATTTGCTTTTTCTTTACTCATTATACAAATTAAGATGACAAAAAATTTCAAAATTTTACTATACTCTACCTAAATTTTGAAAATCATTTGACAAAGTTGCCCACGACCTTCTAATTCAAAAATTAATTGATTTAAAAATAGGCGGAAGTTAATCTTTGTTGTCATTTCATATCTTGAAAACTGAAACAGTTCGTGAAAATAAACAACGAAATTGGATTATAGAGATGTCACGAGTGGTGTGCCACAAGGGTGAAAACTCGGCCCATTAAAAAAAATTTATCAACAATTTGCCAGACGCCAGCCCAGATCCGGAAAGTTTCGGCTTTGCAGATGACTTTAAACTCATAGCACTCAACAGCGAATACCTGATCAACGTGCTGAACAACTTAATAACTGGTGCAGCAAAAAATTTATGGAAAACACGCAAGCAGATTTCAATAAGTTTGGAGATTTCAATACGTTTTTTGAAGACCTCTGCAAACTTACCGCTGAAGAAAGTTATCAACAAGTTGTAACCGCAGACGATATTAAATTTTCGAAAACCAAATGGAGTCAAATGAGCTCGAGCGTTGATTACAAAAATGATATATTACAAATTTTCAAAAACCTTAATTTGAGCAATGCTGCAAGCACATAACTTGATGTGATCTTAACCAATGACCCAGATCCAATAATCGAAGGTAAAATCGACAAAAAAACGCTTTAAAGATTACTCCATTGATAATAAGCCATTCTAAGGGTTTACGAGTACGCTGAAGTGTAGCTGCTCGAAACTCGAAACCAACCATTACTCGACTCGGAAAACTCATCGAGTATTTTCCTTAGTACTTGAACTCGCCCTTCAAACACTCGAATGTAAAAAACATCAATCGGTATCTCTTCTCGTGACTCTTAGGGTATTTTTTATGCTGAATTTTTCGGAGATCACGACGAAAGCACTTTTAACATGAAAATTAAATTAGAGAAACGCATCACACAAAGTATTTATAACATAGAGTGACTGTTCATGTGTAGAAACAGGTTTCGCTCGTGGGTTTTCGGCGACATACGGGTCTGCAAGTGATTCCTACTCAGTCGCCCGAAGGTCAAAAATCGGAAAAAATACTCGTCACCTTTAAATACTCGAACTCGGAAAGTCGAAGTTAGGAATATAATACTCAAACTCGAAATAGCAATTACTCGAACTCTGCCCGAGTACTCGGTACTCGACTCGTAAACTTTGGCCATGCTCCGATCTTTAACCATACTAAGTTTTAGAAGCTGCGCCCCCCGTCAGTACAAGAGAAGTGTGATTGAATGAACTGTTCACCGGGTTTTCCGCAGTACGTCAACATGGGAAGAATATGATAAGGCTATGAAAATCAGCCGTGAGCAGTGGTTAGATAACCAATATCCGGAAAGTTGGTCGTCGCGGGTTGCATCCCATGCCCTTGAAAAGATCATCAGGGAGGGCAAAAACAAGAAGAACATGGCTGAGAAAAAGAAGCCCTGTGATTATAGCAGTGATTCACCACCCATCTTGATGGTCCAATATAGGGGTAATCACAGTCAGACATTAGAAAAAAAGTGCGCGATATCACCAATGCGCAGATAAAATTCACGACGAGGAAAATGAAAACTTGTATGCCCTATCTATAATCCTCCTTTTCCAGTGAACTAAAATCAAAAGTGGTGTACAGTCTTGAATGTTGTGGGTGCAAATTCATCTATGTTGGCCAGACGATCCGACATCTCACCACAAGGATCGAGGAACACCGAAAAGAGGATACCCCAGTTGGACATTATATAAGGCAGTGTGGTAGTGAAAGTGGTAAGTCGGAAATTAAATGGGAAATAATCGACCAGTTGTCGAGCAGCATCAAATTATTTACATTAGAGGCGCTGCTCATTAGGAAAGAGAGACCGGCAATTAACATGCGCGACGAGTTTAGAAGTAGGGAGCTGACACTAAGGCTATAGTTCCAGAATCAAAAAAATTCTGGCTAAAACAAGGAAAAAATTTCGAAATAACTTACATGCTAACATAAAAATAAGCGACAAAACGAAATTGTAAAAAAAAAATATGAAAACACTCAGAAATTTGTGACAAAAAATGTAAAATTGTTACATAATAGTTGTTACATAAATTCAGTATTATTTGTAAAGTTTCGATTAGTTGAAATTCTAAAAATTTGAAACAATGATGTACATGACACTTTTTGTGATCTTTGATCATTTTGTACAGCTAGCTTAGAATTTTTAAAACCTGA